TGATTTATTTCCTAGATCTGAAACCCAAAAGAACAGAGACATTAATTATTCTGACAAGAGAGTCAGAGTCATTGTTTAAGAGTCATAAAAAAAGATATTTATGCATTAGGAATGATTTATGTTGTTATTGTATTCAGGGGTTATTTTTGGGAAAATCTCAGCGTCTTGTATTTCTTTTTTATGAATAATGCTGCTGAGTGTCATGCCTATTCTGGAAACCATGGATGAAATGGTCAAAAAAATGTTCCCATTTATAATAATTAGTCATGTAACATGACAGAACTGACAGAAGCGGAAGATGATGTTTCTTCACATCCTAAACCGAAAAGCTTTGCAATCCAGTGGGAACAGCTGTAAAGGCAAACTGACTTTATAGCACTTTCACTCCAAATGACTAAAAATACCTCTTATTTGTCAGAAATCTCTGTTCTTACTGTAAACAAATGTTGTAAATGTAAAACCTTTCCCACAGTTAGCTTGCCTACAAGAAACCACATTGAATGTGCAAAAAAACAGTCAATTGGCAGAAAGCAAACTCTGGAGCTAATGTCAACACGGTGATCTTGGTAAGCATGTTATGGTTCACTGTGACGAACGGTCCAATTGGGATTTTATAGGAACATAAGCCCTTATTCTGGACGTCCCTAAATCAATCAAAAGTGAGAGGCACAAAATGCTGTAGTACTGCAGAGTAGTAATTCTGCTGGTCACAATCATGGTGGTATAATCATAAACTAGCCTTCCATCATGGAAATGTACTATCAAGCCACCATCCTTAATGTATTTCAATGCTACTAGTATAACTGTATCTAACCATGCAGGGTCAAAGCAGAGACTACGGGAGCAGATGAAAACACAGGAGACGAGGTGAGGATCTATAAGAAGGGTCTTTAATTAAGCGCGCGGTGGTCATTTAGAGCAGGTCCGTCAACGGAAGCAAACATTTCAAGAGGTAAAGTCCAAAAATCCCCAGAAAACACTTAAAAGAAATACTGGCGAGGGATGAGTACGCAAGGTCGGACACGCACGGACAATCCGTCAGCCAGTAAAAAAGCAGGGGAGTATTTATGTGCGGGTCGTCATGGGGGCAAAACCCGGAGTGATGAGATGAAACGGGAAACACACTGATATATATATATGATTGAGGTCATATTGCAATAACGATACGGTGGACTGAAGTTAAAAATGACTGTCAACAATGTGCCACTCCGCCTGATTTAAAGGATTTGCGAGAATTCCGCAGCAAAGCTGAAAGTGACAGTTTGCAGAGAGGTCCTAATTACTGCCTCACTCGACTAATTGTCGCCTGTGAAGAATGTGTTGCCACTAAGTTCCCTGGGATCTCATTGATAGCACTTTTTAAGACATCTACAAAATGCCTGGGGTGTATTTGACACGCTGGTTTGTTCAAAGGCATTCGCTAAGGCAAAGCCACAAGTGGGCCGCGCATGTTGTGAAGCATTCGCAAGCATGAAGGCTTTTTATATAGTCGGAAGAAAAGGAGCAGGTTCAAAGGGTTCTGTATGCAAAATGAGTCGTCTATATGCATCTGTCATTTTGTACGGCTCTTCCTCACCTGCCCAAAATGTAAAGAAATCCTCAACTACAGTTATCCCGACACAATGGGCTGATGAAGTGAGACCATTGTTGGCTTTCCGGAGCCAACGGTGTTAGAATAAACTTGTAGCATTTAGAATAATGCAGTGGTGATGAGCCTTTAGAACAGGGCCACAGAATTGAATGAATGTCTTCTCTTTCAGGGTCTTACCATTCAAAGTGCATCAGCTTCTCGTTTCCATGGTTTCCCTCCCTGTGCCAATGCTATCTTACCACCGGTTTGTCTGGGTGAGAGAGAGAAAGAGGGAGAGGGAGAGAGAGAGAGTGAGAGAATGACAAGGCTTTTAGCAGTGGTTATCGCTCCTTTGCATAAAATCCCTTTTGCTTTACCCGTTGCATGAATGGCGTCTAAATAAACACACCAGCCAGCTCGTGTGGAAGCCTCCCTGGGTTACAAGGGTGTGTGTATAAAGTAATCTAATGGACTGGACTGGAATGGACTTAAAAAACGTGACGGTTTGATCCTAGATGAAAAAGAAGAGTACATCTCCCAAATGGTATTTTCCTATTCGTCCCCACATGTACTAAAAATGATTGAAAACGTGTTAAACTAAACTACTAAGATTTAATGGGGGGCATTATACGATGCTGTAAGAGAGACTACTATTTGGAAAAATATTATAGTGCAAATACAATTTTGGGTGCGTTGACCGTAAGGGAAACTAGGGTTTTTTTTTGGCCAGAGGGCGCTGTGACTTTAAGACAAAAGCAATGTTTTGCCTGTCTGTTGTCTTCTCCCTGAGCTCAATGAGCATTCCTTTCATGCTGTGTGAAGCTCTGCTGACTTATACGGAAACACGGTTTTCTTTTTTCCATAATCATGCTAATGGTCCAGATGGTGGCATGATGAGTGGCATCCTCTTTGATATTCTCGCACTGCAGATTGCTGGTGTGCAGACCCACGCAAACTGACACACGTTCAAAGTCAGTGTTTACACCACCTACTCGATCCGATGTCACACTACACTTTGTGTTTCTTTTAGCTCACACAAGCACCCTCTTCACTATCAAATGCATTCGCTTTCATTTGTGAATTGAGATTTGACAGATCGGGTGGCGTATAATCGAGTAGCACTGCACTGCATTATAGCTGTAAGTATCCTTCGCTTAAGCACACATTTAGTTTTAATAAAACTAGTCTGCACTCAGAAATAAATACAACACATGGTGTGGTGCTGAGATATGTGGCATGTGGTTTTCTGACAGACAAAAACTCCAACGGCCGCCAAAACCCTCGCCTGCTGTAAATATTTGGTGAAATTCAGCATTGTGGTGTCCTTGGGCGAGGGCCAGAGACACCCGGGAAGTCTCCCTGGCCTCACAGAGATTATTAATCAAACACACCTCCACTTCTCCTTTTTCCATCCGACACCTGGTTGTCGATAGGAGAGACAGAAACAAACTCATTTTTTTTAACATCAGAACAGTCCAGGATTCGGTGGTCGAACAATAGACACTCCAAAAATCTGCAACCTGCAGACTGGCAGAGCTGCGATGGCCAACTGACACAAAGTTTGTGAGCACACCAATACGGTGTTTATTTCACCAACAATTATTACAAAAAATTCAGGTAATTCGCCGCTTACCTGCAAAAACAATGACCGCAACCACAACTAATATGTTAAATTCCTAATATACTAATGTAGATGATACATATTATCTCTGTTGGGGTTATACATCACAATAGACACAATATCCTGCATATATATTTACAGCATATACAAAGAGCGACAAACTAATAATGTCTTTGTATCTATAGGCCCGGCTTTCAACAACTACAATAAACCCAATGCGTAAAATCGATTAAAACGTTTAACCTCCCTGAGGGTGTGTGCGTGTCTTCCTTGGAACGGTCTTCATTGCACCGAGAAAGACGCCATTCTCTCGCCCATCAAGTCAAGTCAACATTTTCCGGTAGTAAGGACGGACCTTCACGTCCAAAGAATTTACATGTTACAAGTACGGTCTACCCCATACACACCCATACATTCATTCACAGGCCAGCCATTCACACTTCAGGGAGTGTGTCTGTATGTGAGGGACTGTGTTCATCCAGGCATGGACTCTCGTTGAGCCCATCAAAGAGCTCCTTTCACAACTCTTTCGGGATTAAATAGCGCTCCATCCTCTTGTGGCAGGGCACCCCGCTGTATATCTAGCTCCAGCTGATGAGCAATAAGGTGTAGATTCTTAAATCAATAAGACGTAGACCCCACAGGAGCTGCAGATTTCCATCCTCAAGACGCATTCCCTCCCAGTGCCTCGTACCAACTAGCTAATGACATGGAGACGAGACACGCCAACTTACCGTCTCGTCTCGTCTATCTCCTTGAAATTTAGCCAAGACGTTCTGTAAATGCCACATGAACCCTCACGTCGTAGCTGGGCTCACACTCGAGAATTGTCTGTTGCTGGAAAGCTTTCAAACCTAAAATGGAGCTATTTGCATAGGTTAAATATTTGCGCTTTTCTGCAGCTTTTGTCAATATTACTGGTTTGCTGTTCTGCCAATTTTAATCCCGCTCATCCCACTCCTCCCACATTTCTGTAAGGGTTTGGAAATTGTTACAAGGTTGTTGCACGAATCCCGTAGAAGAGGTTTAGAAAGTGAAGTTGTGAACGACACAACACATGGGCCTCCTAAGATGTATGGGTGAGGAAAAAAAACAGTGCAGTGATGTCCTGCAGGCATGACATGAGATTATATCGCTAGTGTGCAGAGGTTGAACGGGTCTAATGCCAAGAAAGTTCCTTTAGAATTAGTCAAAAGAGAAAGATTATCAAGTGGGAACATCAACTATTCCTATTGTTAGACTCTTATTGCTTTTTTTTCGGTGGATATGCAAGATCTGCTGTGTCTCTGACCATGGTGCTGAAAGCCAACCACATCAAATGTAAATGTATAGTTAATAGAGGTTGATGTCGCCACTTGGCACATGCCCCTTAACCACACTTTATTTGATTATTGCCCCATCAAAGATGCTTTGATTTTGTGACCGTATGTGCACGATTGCAAGTGTAAGCTATGGCTTCGTGCTGAAGTTACTGCTATGTGCATCTGAAAGATGCATTTTTACAAATCGATCTCCAAATCCATGGCAGCTTGACGAAACTTTTGGAGCAGAGAAGAGAGAAACTACAGCCTGGGGTAAAGTTTGCCACACCTCCCACACCGTTCTTTCTCTCCGTCTCCCCCCCATCCCCCGCCCCCCTCTTTTACATTTCTTTCTATCTGTATATTTATCTCCCTTCTATCCCCATTCGCTACCTCGCCCCCTCGCGCGCTCTCCCCCTCTCTCTCCCTCTCTCTCCCCCTCTCTCTCTCTCTCTCTCTCTCTCTCGGTGCGCGTTCACAACGCTAACCTTGGCTCGACGTCAGAGCCTGTGCAGCAGTGCAGTATAATGGGAGCGCAAGCCATCCCGAGCGCCTCATAGGGGGGGCTGTATGTCGCTGCTGTATCCTGTGCCTGGCGCTCTGTAGTCCCTCTCCAACCCTCTCCAGCACCTCACCTACAGCCCATGCTCAGGCTCCCCCCTCCCCTACTGGATCCGTACCCCTCGACATGGATGCCCCGCCGTCCCTCGACCGGGAGGATCGTTGCTTCTTGGCGCAGTGAAGGAGGAGAAGGAGAAGGGGACGAGGAAGGAATCATGCCGGGACTGCTAATGGATATTGGGAAAGCGCGAGTGACCATGCCGTGATCTTGCGCATCCAGGGCCGCCGTCACCCTGCCTTGCACAACGAGCGTAAAATAATTACGGGGGGAATCAAACCCACGCACCGGGGGGATTAAACCGCTGTGCATTTCTTTAAAAACAACATGAAGATTACCTCCCATCATCTGATGATAAGCAGTCTCGTTTTCAGGTCCAACCTCAGGCTGATCCCGCTTCTGCTGCTGTTACTTGGTCACTCTCGCGGGATGACACACGTTTTAAGATTTGGTAAGACTCTGTTTCTAATACGATAGCATCTGTAACGATATCTGAACCACACGCTGCATGCGTGATTGTCGACAGTGAACGCGTGAATTCACTGGACGCAACAAGAAAAAAAAAAGCAATCGCATCGCTGCATTTTGTCACACTCTTGCCTTGTTTTAGTTGCCAAAACAAATTGACCGGCACATTCGTTGATAAATATAGTTTACAATCTATAACTATAATTTCACAACGTGCAGTCACGGTGTGTTAAAAGGCTTTTTACACCTTGGTGGGCGCATTGTGTTTTCCCCTAAACGTGGACACAATCTTACAGTAACTTGGAACGAATGTGCACAGCGAAGCCGTCGAAGGAGGAGAACAGATGCAACAGTTCGCGGACAGAAGAAGGGCACCAGACGCGTGCAGGCTCATGTGTCCACGGCCTTTTAAACTGCGGTCACCCCGACACGTCCTCTGCAGTAAATGTATACATGTAAACATGACACCCGGAGTGCAGATCAATCGCTCTGATCTGTCACAAGGGGTCGATCGATACGCCGGGCAGGAGGCTCCTTGTCATCCTTAATCCCACATCGTATCCAACGGGAGTCCCCGTGATTTTGCTTATTTGTACCGTTTTGGGCATCGATGTTACCGGTGTCAGTATAATAATGAGAAGTTATTCAACAGTTAGCAGCACGGTGCATTGTTGCTGATTGATAAACTCAACGTCTGCCGCTAATCACTAATCACTACCTCCCGAGGTTTGGCCCGTTGCTTTATTAGATCCCCTCTCAGGATGCCTGCGTTTTTGCTTTTCTGTGGAGAGCATCTTGGAGTGACAGGGGAGTCCCCCCCCCAACCCCCCTCTCCCCCTCCCTTGTCCCCCCCATTGCTTCCCCTCCCTGACAACGGATGTCATCAAGTGTTGACAACACATCCTTACAATCCCCAATTCCCCCCGAGGGTCCTGTTTAAGAGTCAGGCTTCGTCCGCAAAAGCCGCCACTATGGCAACGAGATGTGCTTGTCTTCTCCCTGGGGAGGGAGGGGGGGGGGGGGGTACCTGCATGGTAGCATTTGACACGAAAGTTTCCATGCCGACAAATGAGAAGTATAGATTCTTTTGCAAGGCGATGTGTGGGAGAACTACGAGAGTCTTTGTTACACCTCGGGGGAAATTTGGCTAATTGATTTCACGGAAATGTGATAATGTCAAACATTATCAGATTAGATCCGGAGTGAGTTCTTTACGTCGCCACGCCACAATTTGTTGCTTATAATAAAACCTTGCCAGGCGTCAGTGATGAAAAAATATAACCTCATGCTGTTCGATTTGATCAATTACACCGTAAGATCCAAAGGGGAAAAACTCGTGCCCATCCTGGTGGCAGGAGCGGCTAAAACGAGGCTTGAAAAAAGGTGGATTCTCTGTCCATGGTCCCGCTACACCAACCTGCAGGACCACGGACAGCAGCCCCGGCAGCGCAGCGTAATGCATTCTGCTAACCAAAAAGCACAATTATTATGCTAAATGTGATCTATCTGAGAAAGATAGAATTAATAAAGTATGGGACAGAGGAGCCTCTTGGTCCTCGTCTCGGGGGTTTACTTGCCCTGCAGGGTGTGCTTGCTCAGCACAGAATCCCCGCTGACTAAACAAGGGGGTCAGCTCCCTTGGGTCTGGCTGTTCCTGCCCCAAGTTCCCTTCTGCCCCGACAGGCGGCTTAAATTGTACAGCCACTGTTCTCCTGTCAGGCTGATACCTACACAAATGCATGTACACACACACACACACACAGTGTAGCAACTCAGCCCTTTGTCTTCACAGCGTGAGCGTTTCGGAGGGAAACAAGCCGTGTTCTAGCTGCATGCAAAAGTCCTGAGCTATCATTTTACACGTAGAAATTAAATATTGTGTGAAATGTTCGTCATTTATACATCTCATTTACTTTTCATTTAATTTGGAAACGGGCCTGGTGCAGCCACAAAACCCATTGTAAAAAAAATGTCAGAACAGCTCATTTGAGTGGAAAGAACAACCGATTGCAGATCTTAATTTACACACCGGAGCTGTGGCTGGCTAACATCATTTATGCCCCTCAGTTGTCATAGATAACCTGTTGGAGTTTACTGAGGCGGGGATGCAGGGTTGCATTACATTCTATGCCTTTATGCCTCAGCTAACAGGTAGAGGGGGGCAAATATTGCAATCTTCCATGGGAATGACGCCGTAGATCTTGTTCAGCTGTCCCGAACACAAATACAATTCAAATACCCGCTGAAGCGATGAGTCATCACATCCGCCGTTCCATCCACGGTAATTGAGTTTTACTAAAATGTGTCAAACTCATAAAAACGCCCGCGGAGAACCTCGGCAGAGGTAAAAGCAACCGTTTCAGATAGACGGCGTTTTGGTGTAGATGACCATGTAGCTGGTCTCCAGCTGTGAGGTTGAGTGATAACGTTATTGCCGCCATCTTTAAACCGCTTCGGCAGACGCACGTCCCCCGGAGAGCAACGTGGCCTCTGAGAGACTTTTGTTTGTTTATATCCTAGTTATGTTTATGTTTTCCCAAATACAGACGCGCCTGGGAATATTTATGACTAAAACACGACATTTATTTTTTCGTTTTGGAAAGGAAATCAAGACATTCTTTTTCGGGTCCTCTGGCAAATAACACAACAGCCTCTGGTGAAAGCTTTATCTGACTACTTCCACAATGCGCTGCCGGGATAAAGGCCGTTTATTCCATTTTTAAAACGCTCTTTTCATTCCATCCGCTGTGTTTATGCAGTTGAAAATGCAAGGTTGTCAAGGGCAGAGGGCACAAATTCAAGGGGAGTTTGTAGTTAATTGACTTTATTTGCTTTTGCCCTCCGCCAGCAAGAATTATCAGCATTGAGTTTAGTTGGGGATTTCACAAATTAAGGATAACACCCTGTGCCCTGGCTCACTGCCATCCCGTTCACAGCAAACCTATTTAAATAGGCACAAAAGCTGCTTAAAATATTCATGTGTCACTTGGCCACGCTGTAGCTTATAGAAATCTGAAACCTTCTCCTCTGCACTGGCAAATGATTTCCACGGTTTAAAAATACGCACGGTGGGTTTCAAGAACAAAAAGGAGATCTATCTCACATTAGCATGCAGCACCACACATGGGCTTGAAGCAGAGAACTATCGAGATGGATTCTTAAACATGTTTACATTCCTGAGACTTTGAAGGTCTTGCTGTCATGCATCAGATACAAAAAGCTTGATGCCGATTAGTTCTCGGTACAGATTTCTTGGCATTTTGAAATGGAAAGTATCCGTGAGGTATGAAATTAGTTTTCTTCCTTTGCTCACTGTTGACTCGCTTTTTTTTATTTATTTATCAGCTTCATTGGAAAATATTATTTGCTTTAGAGGGGAGGCTTTAGATGACTGAACGCGTTTGCAGGGTAACCAGTTTTGCGTAACTGACATATTGTCTATCAAAAAAAAAAAAAAAATCAAGCAGATCTGAGTCCTGGATTCTTTGTGGAAGGCTTGACTAGCGCATTGGCTTTTTATTATTCACAGCCACTGTCATTGCCACTGAGACGTTTCCCCGCGTATCAGAAGGGTTGGGGGTTATATGTGCAATTGTTTCATGAAACCGTCCTCTGAGAGAGCCCTGCAGCAGGTCTCTGGCTGGCTGGTTGTCAGGCTCAAAGCTGACTCAAGGTCAAAGCTGGAAAAAAAAACACTCACAAGGAGTCTTGATTTTGGGTTTGCTTTTTTAATCTGTAAAAAACAACAACTTTTTAACACATGGGGAGCTGACTGTCCTTCTCACAATGCCAACAAGAGGGGGCGGGGGAAAAAAAAAATCTGAAGTCAATGAGAGGTGTAAGAAAAACAATGTTTTTTAGAGACGCAAGAACAGTGAGAGCGGGAGTGTGTGTAAAGTGAGTGTGAGTAAGAAAAAAAACAGTGAGTGTTGAGGCCAGCAGATACCAAAGTAAAGATAGATTAGTTTGCCTCTGAGCAGTCTGCTCTCAGCCCTCTCTCGCTTTTATTACTGTTTTCTGATGGCTTCTGCGAGGAGACAGCAAGGAGTGTGTTGTGGAAATATAGTGGGAGGCCAGGAGTCATGCACTGCAGCTCTGAATAAATATCTGCAGCATTAGCAAGCTGGGACTGTGAGCATGAAATAGCTTTCATAGGACAGAAACAACTAAACAACAAAACATTGGTAACACAAATATCCCCGTAGGTCGTTTCTTAGGGCACTAAACCCAAAATGTATTTTTATTAGGATGTCATGGATTAATCTTTATTGTCACATTACGTAGTAGACGCTCCCTGCTTCCAGTGGACTGTGAAATAGTGCGAATCAATAACAGTTTTCAAAATTCCTTTTAGCAATACAAACAACATCAGTTGGTATTGCTAAAAGGAATTATGAATAAATGGCAGCAACTGGCATTAGATCAGTTCTAGTGCTGATGCCTTCCTCCTGTGTCTACATCCCAGGTTGGATACCAAAACGTAAACTATATTTCTTGTTTCAAAAACAGTGCACAGGATTGGATTAATAATGCATTTTGCTGTGAATTAATGACCATTTTAAAAAGGCACAAGCAGCAGGGACTTTTGGGAGGCATTTGGGTTTTGATGTGACAATCTCACATTTTCGTCACAGATCTGACGCGTTCTAAACTCAGTAGGAATTTTGCATTTTACTCTCTGGGTGATATATATACGTTCGGAAGTGGCTGCGCTTTAAAAGATGTAACACTCCCATTTGCTGCAGTACCGTGGCATACTTTGTGTCGTATGGAAGGAGACTTTTATCTTCACATGGGATCCTACCTGTTGTAATTAACCATTAATTGTTTGCGTGCGTGTGGCAAACAAAGGAGTCTTGTCAATGGTTCATTAAAGAAGCCGCTGATAGTGCTAATTGGAAGAAGAACTAAATGTTTACTGTGTATTTGGTCTGATTCTTAATACACGCAGCAAGTCAGATGGATGTGTTTGGCACCATGGCG